TTTCTTGGCATAAACAAGTGAGCACTCCAGCACTCCATCAATTTGTTGAAATATTTCAATGGGTATTCCATCAGTTCCTGAAGCCTTATTTTTCACCAATTCCTTCAGTGCAACTTGGATTTCTTCCTTCAATACCATTAGTTTTTTTTTTTTTTTTTTTTATCATACACTACCTCTTGAAATGGTTAAATATCAGCCAATTCTTTTTTGGTACTGTGACGCTTTGTATTCCTTCCATCTTCTTTTGGTGCTTCCTGCATCATTCAATATTTTCCCATAGAATCATTCAATATTGCAATGCAAGGCTTGAGTTTTTTCTTCAGTTCTCTTAGCTTTGGAAATGGCATGTGTGTTTTCCCTTTTGAAAACTCCAGGTATTTGCACATTTCATTATAATACTTGCCTTGTCTTCTTGAGCTGTCCTTTGAAATCTCCTGTTCAACTCTTATACTTCATCATCTTCCACTCACATTAACTACTCTTTGCTCAGAGCAAGCTTTAGAGTCTCTTCTGATGTACATTTTGGTCTTTTCTTCCTTTCCTGTTTTTTTAATGACTGTTCACTTTCTTCATGTATGATGTTCTTGATGTCATCCCACAACTCATCTAGTCTTTGGTCATTAGTGTTCACTACATCATATCTGTTCTTGAGATAATCTCTACATTCAGATGGGATATAATAAAGTTGTATTTTGGTTCTTGTGGACTTGTTTTAATTTTCTTCAGATTCAACTTAAACTTGCATAGGAGAAAATGATGGTCTGTTCCACATCAGCCCCTTGCCTTGTTTTGACTGATGACATAGAGCTTCTGCATCATCTCTTTCCTAGATGTAGTCTAGGAAACTTAGATTTTTCTTAGATGTAGTCTCTTTCTTAGACGTAGTCAATTTGATTCCTATGTAGTTCATCTGGTGAGGTCCACATGTAGAGTCACCACTCATGTTGTTGAAAACAAGTGTTTGCAATGAGTAGGTCAGTCTTGCAAAATTCTTTCATGCAATGTCTGGTATCATTTCTGTCACCAAGGTTACATTATCCAAATACTGATGCTGCTTGTTTCCAGCTTCTACATTCCAATCACCAGCAATTATCAATACATCTTGATTGCATGTTTGGTCCATGTCAGGCTGTAGAAGTTGTAAAAATCCTCAAATTCTTCATCTTTGGCTTCAGTGCTTGGTGTATAAATTTGAATAATAGTATTAACTGGTCTTCCTTGTAGGCATATGACTATTATCCTATCCCTGACAGCATTGTACTTCAGGATCGATCTTCAAATGTTCTTTTTGATGGTGAATGCTGTGCCATTTCTCTTCAATTTGTCTTTCCTGGCATAGTAGACCATATGATTCTCTGATTCAAAATGGCCAATACCAGTCCATTTCAGCTCACTAAAGCCTAGGATATCGACCTTTATGCATTCCATTTTATTTTTGACCATTTCCAATTTTCCTAGATTCATACTTTGTACATTCCACACTCCATTTATTAATAAATGTTTGCAGCTGTTTCTTTCCATTTTGAGTCTTGCTCCATCAGCAAGTGAAGGTCCTGAAAGCTTTATTCCATCCACATCATTAAGGTCAACTCGACTTTGAATAGGCAGTTCTTTCCCAGTCATATTTTGAGGTTTTCCAACCTGGAGGTCTCATCTTCTAGCACTACATCAGACAATATCCTAGTGCTACTCATAAGGTTTCAGTGGGCAATTTTTGCAAGCGTGGACCTGGCCATGACCTTCTTCCTAGTCTGTCTTACTCTAGAAGTTCCACAGAAACCTGTGCACCATTGGTGACCCTGCTGGTATTTGAAATACTGGTAGCATAGTTTCAAGCATCACTGCAACAATCAAACCATTACAGTACAACAAACTGACAGATGAATAGTGGAATGTTGAACTAGGTGTTGGGATTTTCTAAGTGCTAAAATCAGGAAATTGTATTAATCATGCACCACAATTTCAAGCAAATTCTGCTTGAACTGGAAACTGGTTGGACTGGAAACTCACCCAAAATCTCTTTTCTCAGCAGAGCAATGCAAAGTTGTGGCAAGAAAAGCAGAAAACTCCAGCGAATTCTACACCTATCCCCTAAAATGGAGAAACTATGGTTTATGACATGAGTGGCCCCCCAAAAAGGCAGAGGGTCCAATGCATGAGCTCTTTGCCTACTGATATCTGCTGTTTTCTAGGGCTCTGATAGAAGATGGACTGGAAGAAGAATGCTGTAGACATTCCTCATGTTTCTTCCTGACCTGTCTTCATAATAGTAACAAACACTTTACCCAATATCAAGAGAACCATAATCTGGAGAAGCAACACTACTCTTCCAGAAAAAATAAAGAATTCCCCACTAATTGTATGGAGCAGTATAAACTTGAAACCAAAACTCAATTTGTTGTTGTTGTTGTTAGGTGCTGTCGAGTCATTTCTGACTCATAGCGACCCCATGCACAGCAGAACGAAACACCGCCTGATCCTGCACCAGCTCCATTATCCTTGCTATACTTGAGCCCATCATCGCAGCCACCATGTCAATCTCAACTAGAAACTCAACTAGACAATATGAAAAAGAAAAAGACCACTCTCACGAATGGACATATATGCTAAATATGAACATGATTTAGTAGGAAATAATCCAGTAATATATAAAAAGGATAATACATCATAACCTGGTTGCAGAAATGCAGGGTTAGTTTGATATCAGGAAACAAACTGATGCAATTCACCATATTCAGGGATTAAGGGAAAAATTATATGATCATCTCAACAGATCCAGAAAAGAGACTTGATAAAATTCAGCAGGCAACTATCATTTAAAAAAAAAACACAAACCCTTGGCAAATTAGGAGAAAAAAAGGAAACTTCTTTAGGATGATAAAAGAATCTACCGGGGGAAAAAAAAAAAAAAAACCTCTACAGCAAACATCATTCTTAATACTTTTCATTTTTAATACTTTCTCTTGAAGTTCTGGAATGGGTCAAGGAGGCCCTCTATCCTCACTTCTTTTTAACACTGTACTAAAAGTCCTAGCAGCATAGTAAGGCAAGAAAAGAAGACAATTGGCAAAGAGGAAAGAAATTGTCCTTTTTCACAGATGTCCTTTTTCCACAAATATCTAAATATAAAAAAATGAAACTGTTAATATTTTAGAAAAATATGGAAGAATATCTTCATGCTTTCATGAACAAGATAACAAAATTATATTAATTAAAGAAAACATTAGACTTTGTTCAAATTAAGAACTTCTGCTCATCAAAAAACACTGCAAAGAATTTGGTAAAAACAAGTCAAACCAAAAAAAAAAAAAA